CAGCTGCCCCAGGTTCGCCCATCCTTCAGGACGCAGCCCAAGGCCCGCCTGGTGCCCTGCCTACCTGATAACACCGAGAATGACCTGCAACCACTGCCAGGGCAACGACCCCACTGGGCACTGAGGAGCTCTGCTTCTCGGGCCTTAAAATGTTTCTCAAAGGTGCTGATCTTGTTTATGTCTTCAGGAAGGGTGCTGATATCTTCCTAATTCAGTAGAACCCCTCAAAGGCAGGGTCTGAACCTGAAGTGCACTGTGGCCCCCACCCAGCGAGGGGCTGGTTTCCACACAGCCATCGCCCACTCCCACCCCTAATACCACGTGTTGGGGAGCACGAGCTGGGGCACCCCAGGGAGGAGCTGCGGCCAGGGTGGGTCCAAGCAGGTACAGATCAGCCCTGGACACTCACTGAGGGAAGGGAGGGTGGAAAACCGGGCACTCCCTGTGAGCCTGAAATTCCACCTTCTCACGGCAAAGAGGCCAAGAGGGCAAAGAAGGAAGTGGAGGAGCAGCGGGTGTCTTTCTGGCTGGGCTGTGGCTGGAGTCAAAGGTCAGATTCCAGGGGCGGAGCAAGGGCTGCTCAGGGAAGGCCCCACCTGTGTTCCTTAACGAAACCACCTGCCGTGCTCTGCCTTCTATTCAGAAGGGAGCCCTCTCATTGCCATTTTGAAGCAATTCTTCTGAAAACACGAGTTTTGTATTACTGTGTCTGGCTACTGGGCGTGGCAGCGCAGCCCAGAGAGGGGGTGGTGGGACAGGGGAGGTCCCATGCTGGCAAGGGGAGCCCCCATCTCCAGGTACTGAAGGAAGGAACCTTCTCAGCTCCCAAGACAGAGCCGGGGGGGACCCACAGGGCACAGCCCCTGCCACCGTGTCCTGCCCCCTTCCCGAGATCAGCTAGTTTCTCCCAACAAATCATGGAGCCAAGTGGTGGAGACCCACACTTGGCCTGCTGTGGCATCTCGGTAAACTGTCTGTGGGTCTGCCTTTGCCGTATGGAGGGGGAGCACTCGAGGACGGCAAAGCCCCCATGTGAACGTCCTCCCCAGAACACACCAGCTGATGCTGTAGCAGCCGTGCCCAGCGCTGGCTCCCACCCCCAGCCCTGGAGACCATGTGGCCTGCCCCCCACCAGCTGAGTGGATGGGGTGAGCATCCTCACCCAGGCCAGGTCAATCGGTTCTCTGGCACCCTAAGACCAAGGGGAGTGCTCCTAGGAGGTCCTGTGGCCTCAAGCTGAAGCCACCATCCAGGGCAGCCACGCCAACCGGCCAGAGAGGCAGCCCGCTGGGAGAGGAAAGGGGACAGATGCACCAGGAGAGGTGGAGAAGACGAAACTGGCAGCCCAGAGAGGAGAGCCGGAGGAGGGGCTGCCTACCAGCTTCCCACGTCCTGGGGGAGCCTGGCTGCCTGCAGTTGTTTGCTACACAAGTTCCCCTTCCCTCCTCTTAACTCTCCTTTCACTTAACCTAATTGTAGGAGGTTTCTCTCCCTGACAACAAAATTATCCCAGAGACCGGTCAGAGCCTGCCCCCTTCCCGCTCAAGAGCAGGCCTACTCATCAAGCCATGCCCACCACTCAGCTTACAAGGTGAGGCTGGTCAGGGGAGGGCCGGCACCTGAGCACTGTGCCTCTGCGCAGTGAAGGCAAGGCCGGCTGGGGCCCCAGAGCCAGAGGGCACTGGACTCTGCACCTGGGCGAACGGGGTGGCGCTGTCTGAGGACAGCACCGCCAAAATCGTGCTTCAGGGAAATTAACGTGGTAGGGGTCAGATGGTCTATAGGAAGGGGGCACGTCTCCCAGGCGCACAGTAGGTGCCTAACAAATGCATGGAGGGCAAACAGGGAAACCTCTCTATGCCTTGATTCCCTCACCTCTAAAACACAGGGAATGTATTAAGATATCCACAAACTAACACACACCGTGTAAAGAGCTCAACACAGCCCTGGCTGCCGTGGCTCAATTGGTTGGGTGCTGACCCACAAAACGAAAGGTTGCTGGTTTGGTTTCTGGTCAGGGCACTTATGTAAGGTTCGGTCCCCTGTTGGGGAGCATACAAGAGGCAACAGATCCATGTTTCTCTCCCTTTCTCCCTCCCTGCCCCGCCCCTCTCTCCAAAAAAAAGAAAGAGAGAGCTCAAAACAGTTCCTGACACAGCACGCTCAATTGAATAAGTGTTTTGTTTTTTTCAAACCTGTGCTGTTCTCCCCAACAACCTCTGGGCAGGTGCTATCATCTAATGTTTGTGTGCCCCCAAATTCATATGTTGAAGCCTAGTGCCCAATGTGGTGGTGTGAGGAGGCAGGGCCTTCGGAGCCCTCATGAATGGGAACAGCGCCCTTACAAAAGAGACCCCCCCCACTGGAGACTCTGGGGGGATGGCAAAGGAGGGGAGGGAAAAATAATAATAAATTAATAAAAAGAGATCCCCACAGACCTCCCTAGACCCTTCCACCCTAAGAAGATACAAGGCGACGTCTGCAACCCAGAAGAGGGCCCTCACGAGGCCATCCCAGCGGCCTAATCTCAGACTTCCAGACTCCAAAACTGTGCAAAATAGATTTCTGTTGTTTTTAAGTCTGCGCCCCACCAGTGCTTTGTTAAGACAGCCTGGACTAAGACAGCAGGGAACCAAGAGGGTCAAGAACACAGCTGGGCACAGAAGCAGAGGAAGGGTAAACGGCATCCAGAGGGCAAGGTCAATCGTTAGGGTGGCAGGGCCGGGGAGAGAAGGCCAGAAGGGAGCTGTCTCCTGCACTGTGGATCAGAGTGGAGAGAACAGGGATGGCCAGGGCTGTGGGGATGCTGGCCTTCCCACTACCAAGGGAGGCGGACCAGGGCGGAGGGGGCGGCTGAGGAGAGAGGCTGCAGTGTGGCAGAGGACAGGACCTGGGTGAGGCTAACACGCAGGGCTGCCTGGCAGTGGACAAACAGATGGGGAGGGAGGGAGCCACAGGGGTGTGTGGGGGTGTGTGTGTGCGTGTGTGTGCTTGCACCTGCATGCACATGGGCTATAGTGCAATCTGGCACAGCCACAATAACAGAAATTGGGCATTTGCTCCATCAAGTGAGCATACTTCACATCCACCCACCCATTCAATTCTCTCAATAACTCTACCAGGTGGATAGCATAGGTATCTTCATTTTTCTAGATGGGAAAATCGAGGCAGACAGAGGTGTAGTGATTTGTCTGAGGTCATGCAGCTCATAGATGGTAAAGCTGAGATTTGAACCCAGGCCATGAGGGTCCACCATCCAAACTTTTAGCCACCAAAGTGGACAGGACATGCTGGAAAGGGTGCCCAAGGGTAAACCCCCAACTTGGAATTTCAGGCTGTGGGTACAGAATTCTAGGTACTACTTCACAACCTGCTGGGTAGACCCGGCAGGGTGTGCACACCTGTGCACAGGTCCCCTCTGCCAGGCTCTTCTGCCTTTGAAACTCCTCTCCATCCCTACCCCCTCCACCTCTCCCAGAGTCTGCACCCACCATCCCTTGTAAGCCAGGCGCTGCAGACACAATGCATCCTGGCTCCTGGCTCATGGAGGAGGGAAAGCAGTAAGGACAGGACAATCCTTTCCCTCAATAGAACTCCCCTGCCTTCAAACCCCATGCCCCACCACCTAAATTTTTCACTGTTCTGCTGTTCTAACCCAGCAACCACCAGGCCTCCTGCCCGCTTCTGACTCTAGGCCCTACCCACACTATTTCCCTGCCTGAAGCCCCTTTGGCATCCTGGCAGCAAACTTCTGCACTGGGCTCCATCAAGCTTCCTGTCCCCCTCCCCCCAGGAGTCCCTCCTCGGTACTCCCAGCTCCCTCACGGCTACACTCAGTGATGGCTGTGCTCCCTGGAGGCTGCGATGCCCGATCCTGTGGACTTGCCAGCCCCTGGCAGTGCTGGGCCAGGTGACAGCAGCTGGATGAATGAAGGGCTCATTGTTTACATTACAACTGGTGGGGAGTGTGCTGCACACATGTGGTGCCCCACGTGGTGCTCCCTGCACCCTCCTCCTCCTGTGCCAGCAGCCCTAGGCCAGCGCCATCTCCACTAGCCTAAACCGGGCATCTTACAAGGGCGAGATCAGCCAGCACACCTCATTTGGACTCCCCATTTCTGACCCAGAAGAAAGAGGTAGGATCTCAGAGACTGGGGGATGGGCTGCTGGGTGTGTGACATCCCACAAGGTGCCCCTCTGCCCATCCTCCCCAGGGAGGGGGATAGCGCTGAGGCCTGCGCGACAGTGCCCAGGGAGCACCTGCCCCATCCAGGCCCTGCCTGAGGGACCCAAACAGGCAGGTCCTGGAGGCCGAGCGAAGCATCCTTGGCGGCCGCGGCCCCTCCCTGTGAACAGGGCAGAAAACCTGCTGCCTCACCAGCCACCAGCGCCAGCTTGCCGGGGCACCCCTGCGGGAAGCCGCCCCGCCCCAGTACCCCCTAACCACCTCCGCCATGCACTTCAACCAAGTTTTGCAAAGGGCAGTGGCCGGCGACTCCAGCCTGCGCGAGGGCTCCGTGTTCTCCCGGACCCCGCGTCTGGAGCAGGGGGCTAGGGGACCGCGCCCACCAGGCTGTGCCCTTCGGGCCTGTGAGCCCAGGGCCCTGCGACGCGTCCAGCCTCCTCGCGCTGGGGAGGAGGCGGGCTGCCCCCCCCCCCCAGCAGATGTGCCGAACTCCGGTCTCCGGCTGGGCTGGTGGAAGGGGGGGCGGAGGATGCTGACGGTGCCCTCACCACCGGGACAGGCAGCCCGGGAAGCGCCTCCCAACGCCAGCAGCACCCGCTCCTCGCTTGCGGGCGTGGGCAAGTTGAGGTGCAACCCAGCACCGGCTCCGCTCACGCCCACCCTCCAGCCCCGACCCTGCGGCCTCTCCCACGCCCGACAACGTCCCCGGGCCGGCCCGCTTCTGCCCAGGCTGCGGCCACCGCCGCCTCCCGAATCCCTCGATCCTTTGTTGCCCGGCAAGCCCCCTCCTTCAGGGGGTCCCCGCTGCTCCTACCTTCGCCCCTCCAGCATCAGGCTCGGCGGCGGCGACCCGGCGTCGGCCTCCTCCGCGGGCCCGGCCGCCGCGGGGGGAGGATGCTGCGGCCGCTCCCGCTCCCCGTCGCCCCACCCGCGGCTCAGCCCCGTGGCGCCCGGACACGGCGCTCGCGCTCGGGACCCGGGCCTCGCGCCGCGTGTGCGGCCGGCTGGCGGCCGGCGAGCCGGAGCAGCCGACCCAGGCAGCCCCGCCGCCGCCTACGCGCCCCGCGGCGAAGCCCCGCGAGCCGAGCGGAGCGGAGCGAGCGGCCCGGCTCCGGGAGGGAACAAAAGGGGCCGGCGCTGGGACGAGCGCCGGAGGGCGGGGCCTGGCGCGGCGGGGGCGGGCACGCGGGCGCGCGGCCTCCGGGTTCTCGGGCCGAGGCGCGTAGCCGCCGGTGGGCGGGCGGGCAGAAAATGCGGGGGATCCCGGTAACCCGCCCGCAGCCGGCTGTCGCGGTGGGGCGCGGGCGGAGTCGCGGGTGCGCCGACGCCCACTTCAGCGGTCGGCACGCGGTGGTGCTTCAGTCGTGTTTGGCGTAAGAACGCTCTTCAGCCTTGCTCCGCTCACAAGGACGCCCCAGACCCTGGGGAAAATGCGGGGAGGAATGGGGAGGTTCCGGGAAGGCTTCACAGAGGAGGTGACGTTGGACAGAACAGAAAGAGATGAGGAAGGGACGGTGTGACCGAGGTTCTAACTCCAGGTTTTATCGAGCTGTCCTGAGGCCAAAGACGATGGTAATAAGTGACACAGGTTCTTGGTGATTTGCTTCCAACATGTCTTTGCAAAAAGTGGTACCCAATACACAGATGATCCTCGACCCCGCTCCCTGGAGCAGGATCTCCCTCCTGTGATATCAGAGGAGCTGACACAGTTGTATCGTCCTCTCCCCTAAGTGGGTGGCAGAAGCTAAGTGTCAGCTGAGGGGAAAGAAATAAATAAATTCCCAACACCCATAGGTGCCAGTGTCCAACTGTGGTTGCTTTCTATGCCTTTGTGACCCTTTCCCCTTTGATAAACTAACCTCTGAGCCTTTGCTATGATGGTTCTTCGACCAGCAACGCCCCCCACCCCTGCCTTCTCTGTTTGACAAATCATCCTTCCCCTTCAAAGCCTGGCTCCCACTTACCTTCATTTCCCTTGAGTGTGGCGATGCGGGTGTGTTGGGGTAGGTTGTGGTCTGCACAGTGAGGCCCACTCCAGAGGGCAGGCAGGAGGCACAGTCTTGCTCACATCCCCTAAGGCACCCAGCACAGACTCTGGCCCAGGGCAGACATTCAATGACACTTGTTGAATGAATGAATTTGCTAAGAGGCTACCAACCATCCTTCTGCTGCCCTGGTATCCATAATCTCTGAGAAATGAGTTAACCTCTGGAACTCAGTTTCCCCACCTATAAAGTAGAGACAGTGTTTCACTTTGGTTCAGCAGACGTGTAACGGTATAGTGATGAGGCTGGTCACAGGCCAGCCCTGAGGAGGTCCTCAGTGGGGAAGGGATGCCAGACCTGGAGACCAGGTCCGGAGGAGGGTGCAGAGTGAGCCCGGAGGAGGGGCAAGCTTCTGGTGGAGGCGTCAACCCGATGGGAAGAAAGGGGATTCGAGGTGGAAAGGGCTGCTGTGCTCAGGAACCAGAGAGCAAAGTGTTCCGGGTGGCTGGGATGAGCGGTCCAGATATTAAGCAATGAGACCCAAGGCATCAGGCAGTGGTAATAGCACAGCTCCATCACCTCCAGCCCATGGACAAGACTCTCTGGGCCTCTGTTTCCCCATCTATAAAATGCAGGTAGTGTCAGACTGCCCCCTAGGGTTGTTGTCAAGAGAGCAAGGTCATCAAAATGACTGCATGGAAGGAGCCTGGGTTTTTCTGCTGTGAGAGGGAGATTTCGGACAGACTTTTCTCCCACGGAGAGGATGAAGCACAGAGTGAAGACTGGGGCTTTTCCGGTCGCCCACTCCTCCCTCCCTGGGGGTTAGTGGAGGCTGCAAAGGCCGTGGGGGTCCCAACGGTGGGAAGCAGGGGAGGCCCGGTCAGAGGCCATTCTGAAAGTTCTCCCTCCTGGCAGGTCTTGGGGGTAGGCTGAGACCCTGAGAGACCCGCTGGAAGTCTGTGGGGGTCCAAGCTAGTGCTGGGGGGGCTGGGACACTCTAAGGGGGAGGGAGCAACAGAGGAAACCAAAGGAGAGACCAGTCTAGATCAGGTTTTCGGGGTTCCTTTGAGACCGAAACCCAGGGTGACTCTCCCCAGAAACACACGATATGCTTACACATAGACACAGAGTTTCTCAAGCAGGTTCAGACCATTCACAGACCCCTTGAAAGCCCCCCCCCCATCTGTACAGCTGGGTTCTAGGGCAAGAGAGAGTTCTGGGGCTGAGGAAAACAGGGCAGGTGCCCTGTAGCTGAGAGCGTGATTTGTGGGTCTCTGACCCAGACCTAAGGGTGGGTGCAGCCCGCAGGCACCCCTCCCTTCTTTGACACCTGAGGCTTCTGGAACCAGGAAAGTGGCCAAAGTTCTCAGGATATCACCCATCAGGGAGGGACTAAGAAGGTCCCTTAAGAGAATTTAAACCATCGTTGCATCCCAGCCCCTCCTGGCACAGGTGGGGAAACTGAGGTCCACAAAGAGGCAGGGGTTTCAGGACACAGAGACCCTGCTGTGAAGCACCCGCGCTGCCTGCACCAGCAGGTTCAGCCAACCTCCCCACCTACCTCCAGAAGGTGGGTGGAAGGCCCGCTGCCCCTCCCTCACCAAGAGCTCCCAGTTCCTGCCGAGCACCAACTTCTCCTCACCTAGACTGTGCAGGCAAGGCCGAGAATACTCGTCCACGAGGAGGTCAATTGCTGACTCGGTTCTTAGGCTTGTGGGTGAGAAACTATAGGCTTGTATCTTACTGCAGGTTCAGTTGGGGTTTTCTGCTTGCTGCAACCAAACAAAAGATTTAGACGTGGAAGTGGAAGGTGGAGCTGGGCATGATGCCCCAGGCACCAGGCCTGGGAATGAGGGTGGGGTGGGGGTGGGGCGGGGGAGAAGGGCTCCCAGAAGACCTCTCACAGCCTTTTATCTTCACAGAAAGTGCTGATTTGACCATTTTCTTGCTGACACTGGCTATGACCGGCGTCCCCACGAGGGGGAGGGCGGTAGTTGTGGGAAGAGCACATCAGGAATAATTGGGGACCAGGGCGGAGGTCTCAGAGCCCTGCCCTGGGGCAGCCACAGACAAGGCGCGGCTGCCCTTCAGGTCCTGCCCCTCGGGTATGCTGTGCTGTTGTCTCATTCATTAGGACCAACAGCAGGACATGCACATGATGGAGTATTTTATAGTCTCTGAATCACTATTTATAAGGAATCTGTAAGGAATGGAGAAACACGCTGGCATTTGTGTCAAATGAGAAATGGACATCAAAAAATTGTAGATGTGGTAGAACGGGAAAAACTGGTCACCCTGGTGGCCTCGGGTGGGGAGGACCCAGGGGGGTTTTCCTGCCCTTTTCTGCATTCTCCTAAACAAGTGCGTGTTACTTTCAGAGCTAACAAAAGTGATTTATATAGAGAACACTAAAGATTCAACCAGAATACTACTGGAACTGGTAAATAAGCTCAGTAAAGTAGAAGGATGCAAAATAAATATCCAGAAATCAGTTGCATTTTATACACCAATAGTGAACGGTCAAAGGGAAATTAAGAAAATAATCCCATTTACAATCGCATAAAAAATACCTAGGAATAAATTTAACCAAGGAGATAAAAGACCTGTTCTTGGAAAAGTTGTAAGACACTGAAGAGAAAAATTGAAGAAGATACAAATAAGTAGAGGCATATACCATGTTCATAGATAGGCAGAATTAACATCATTAAAATGTCCATACTACCCAAAGCCATCTATAAAATCAACACAATTCCTGTCAAGGAAGAACAAAGAGAAAGAAGAACAAAGTTTCACATGCTACCTGACATGAAACTGTAGTACAAGGCCATAGCAACCAAAACAGCATGGTGCTACCATAGAAACATACAGAACGATGGAACAGAATACAGAGCCCCAAAATAAACCACTGCCTTTACAGTCAATTAATATTTGACAAAGGAGACAAAACATACATAGGGGTCAAGATAGTATATCAATAAATAGTGTTGGGGAAATTGTACATATCCATGGAAAAAAATTAAATTAGATCACTTTTTACTTCATACACAAATGAATTCAAGGTAAATGTAAGACCTGAAACCATAAAAATTTTGGAAGGAAACATATGCAGAAAAATCTCGGCCATTTCTCACAGCAATATTTTTTCTGTTATGTCTCTTCAGGCAAGGGAAACAAAAGAAAAAATAAATAAATGGGACTACATCAAACTAAACAGTTTTTGCACAGCAAAGGAAACCATCAACAAAATGAAAAGACAACCCACTGAATGGGAGAACATATTCGCCAATGATACATCTGATCAAGGGTTAATGTCCAAAATTTATAAATAACTTATAAAACTCAGCACTAAAAAAGCAAACAATCCAATTAAAAATGGGCAAAGCGCCCTGGCTGCTGTGACTCAGTGGATTGAGTGCCAGCCTGCGAACTGAAAGGTGGCCAATTTGATTCTCAGTCAGGGCACATGCTTGGGTTGTAGCAGGTCCCCAGTTTCGGGGTATGAGAAAGGTAATTAATCAATGTATATTTTGCACACTGATGTTTCTCTCCCTCTCTTTCTCCCTCTCTTCCCCTTCTCTAAAAATAAATAAGCAAAATCTTTTTTTTTAGATAGGCAAAGGACCTGAATAGACACCTCTCCAAAGAAGACATAAGGATGGCCAATAGACATATGAGAAGTTGCTCGATGTCACTAATCACCACAGAGAAGCCAATTAAAACCACAAGGCGGTGTCACCTCACACCTGTCAGAATGGCTACCATCAATACATCACCAACAAGCACAGGCAAGGATGTGGAGGCAAGGAAGCCCTAGTACACTGTTGGTGGGAATGCAGACTGGAGCAGCCACTGTCAAAAACAGTATGGAGCCCTGGCTGGTGTGGCTCAGTGGACTGAGCGCAGGCTGCGAGCCAGAGGGTCGCCAGAAGGTCGCCAGAGGGTCGCCAGTTCGATTCCCAGTCAGGACACATGCCTGGGCTGAAGACTGGACACATGCCCAGCTGGGGTGTGCAAGAGGTAACTAATTGACATTTCTCTCACACAGCGGTTTTTCTCTCCCCTTTCTCCCTCCTTTCCTCCCTCTATAAAAATGAATAAAATATTTTTTAAAACCAGTATGGAGATAC